ATATGCTTTCATTCTACCACGCCTCAGATCAACATTCCATGCTAAAGTGCAATGATGTTTGGAAGCGGTTGTAGAAACTTCTCTAGAAGGATGCACCTTTTGTCTTCGCGAAGAAGTGTTTTGAAGCATTTGACATTCTCAAGAAGAAACTCACCAATGCCCGGATCATGGTTTCTCCGGTTTGGAACCTCCTCTTTGAGTTGATGTGCGACTCAAGCGATTATTTAGTGGTAGCAGTGTTGGGAAAAAGGATAGACAATTACTTTCAACCAAGTTTGTTATGCGTCGAAGACTCTGAATGGGGCTCAAGAACATTACACCACCACGGAGAAGGAGTTGCTGGCGGCCGTCTTTGCTGTTGACAAGTTTTGATCATAGATGGTACTATCAAAGGTTATTGTCTAGACCAAACACTCTACCTCATGAGCAAGGCCGATGCCAAACCACACCTTATCCGGTGGAACCTCCTCTAGCAAGAGTTCGATGTGGAAATTAAGGATAAGAACGGAGCTGAAAACTTGGTTGTCGATCATCTTTCCCGACTCGAGGGGCTTTCTGGGAGTTCCATACAAAGAGAGATAAATGAATCTTTCACCGATGAGAGGCTACTCATGGTTGCGGTGGTAGACAGTGCAACACTTGGTTGGGCTACTTTGCCAGCTATTTGGTGGGGGTAGCAATTGTCGAAAGGAATGAGTTCTCATGAGAAAATGAAGTTCTTAGCCGAACTCCGGTACTACATTTGGGATGACCCTCACCTCTTTTGGATTTGAGGCGATGGAGTTATCCGATGTTGCGTTCCAGAACGGAAGATGAGGGCTATCTTAGCCCAATGAGACAAAGGACCAACCAGGGGGTACCATAGAGGAAACTACACAACAAGGAAGGTACTTCAATCTTGATTCTACTGGCCTTCGCTGTTCTGGGATGCCGATGAGTTTGTGAGGTGATGCGACAACTGCCAGCGGTCAGGTAACATTTCTAATTGCAATGAGATGCCCCAAACGATCTCTATAACCTGCGAAATTTTCTACATTTGGGGTATCGACTTTATGGGACCTTTCCCCACATCATTTGGAAACAAGTATATTTTGGTGGCCATGGAGTATGTCTCGAGGTGAACTGAGGCGCAAGTTTTGCCCACCAATGATGCAAGACGAGTGACTCATTCCTAACTACACAAATAAATTGTGACTGAAGCCCAAGTGCAAACTCTAGAAGGATGTAGTATAAGACAAGTTTTAATTGTCAACCCGAGGTGGTCCACATACTCCTACTTCAATCGCTTAAATTGTTATCTAGCTAACGGCTTGGAGTTAAATCTAAAGAGCTACAGTTGTAACTAAGAAAATAAAGAAATTGAGGTGGTTTCAATATGTGAAGAATTCACCCGGGTATTGCTCCCCATAGCCTTGTATCAAGATTGACAGAAAGGGATGCTAATGTGGGAAGGTGAACTCATACACTGTGAGGAGGTTGTAACTAGTGGAGAAACCCCACTCTCTTAGATGGTTAGCCAAGGAATATCGAATTAAGCTACAAAACTAGCTCTCTTGACTAATCGACTAAGGGTTACTAAGATCTCTCCCTCGGAAACTAATTCAGACGGCGAAATAACAACCAATCATGGTAGGTTCATGGTGCTAAATCGATGTTTGAGGCTTGTGCTCAGTTGCCCTAGGTGGGTGACCCAAGTGGTCAAGAAATCTAGCTTCTTAAAGCCTCTAAAAGGGTATTTCCTTCACCTAGGTCAATTTGACCTAATTATGAGGTATGAAGAACAATACTCAAGAATTTTGAAAAATACCTCAAACATTGCATTAAAGACAAACCCACACACATAAAATTCAATCCATACAACCTATCACATCTCTTAGGCTAGGGTTCACAATACCTAAGTGAGAAGGAGAACTACTCCATAGCTAGACTAGAGATTACAACGAAGAGGAGAGAAATAACCATGGTGTGATGTTTGTCTTCCTTCCTTATTGTTGGAATCACCCTTGAGAGATGAAAATTATCATTCCTTCGTTAGTTTTTGTTTCTAATTTCTGAAGAAGAAGGCCATTCTCTCATTAGGATTCCTCCCCCTTTTGTTTCAGATTTCTCCTCCTTTTTTACTCCAGTCGGCCAGATGTCATGGTCGAAAGTCACGGGTGTGACCTTGGAAGACTTGCGGTGATCTCGGGAAAAATGTACCGTTCCACTTAACATCTTCACGGCCTAGACGGAATTGTCACAGTCAACTGAACGTAACAACTGATTTGTCCGTGAGGCGTGCAAATACTCTTGGAAGTCGTCAATCTTCACGGTCGAGGCTGAATCTTCATGTTCTCCCGCCCGTGATATTGTCTCTTTGGCCGCGATCTTTTCCTTTCTATCCATTTCGATCCACTTTCACCGTCTTTCGTTCGCCTTCGCTTCCGAGGTCAATTCCACCTACTAAAACTTGAACATGCTAAAACATGCACAAACCTAGTGTAAAATCAAACCTTGACGATGCAAACGCCTTAAACGTCACAAGAATGTGGGGTAAAAACTAGTTTAACTAAACCTGAATTAAATTCCCCAACATTTAGAAGTTTGTTTGTCCCTAAGCAAACCAATCTCAGACAAGGTAACATTTCAACCTAAACATCATAACTTGGGGACATGTCAAAGGGTTCAAAAAGTGGATGGATCTCAAACGTGTATTTGGCACCGACATATGGACAACAACAATCAATCCTCGTAACCACCACATTTGAATGCCTTAAGAACATGCAAATGAAAAGTTCTCACCCTGTTCAAAATGAACAAGATAAAATGAATGAATCAGTCACTCTCGACTAGTGGGATCGGGGCCATTTTGATGCAAAAGATGTGCATACTCAACACTCAGCGCTATTGTCTCTTCACCATGGCGGTAACCTCTAAATGCTAGAGCTCACAAGATGGGTGTCCTCACTAGCTTGTCTGGAGGTCTTAGACACAAGTTCAGATGACTGGCTAGGATTTTAGACATGGGGAAAAGGCTTTTTGGGTGGTGGCAAACATAGCATGAGGTTCCACATCTTCAACCTAAGCACCATCATTTTGCTGCTGTCACTTGGTGGATTTTTGGTATTCGGTTAACTTGTTTACTGACAGTAAATTACCGGAACCTATCCGGTATACCGTTCAGTCCCTTTCGTCCACCGCCAACCATTACCGACGATTAATGGTTTAACAGTTACAACTTGTTACCCGTACGGTTATTGGTTAAACCGTTAACCGGAAAACCATTTACCAGCCCTAGTTAAACATTCATAAAAAGAAGAAAGAAAATAAGAAAAACATAGTTCAGAGTCGAAGTGGAGAAGTGGGGCTACAAAACCGCTTGGCCACATGTCTCACATCGTCATCCACCTCTCGCGAGACAGAGAAACCTGTCATCTGTCCTTAACTTGAGTAGGTTGAAGCCGAGGCATTTCCTCCACTAGATGGTGGTAGTGGCGACGGGCATCCACCTCTCGGTTGAGCTGAGAAGAGACTCCAGCAACATGGTGCTTAAGGTGAGTCACTCAGGCCTCAATAATGCCCAACGATGATGATTAAGCTACGGAGGATGAAGATGCTCTAGTGAGGTGATATCGCCTCTTTGGTGGCTGCGATGGTTCCTGGGGAAAGGGTGCCTCCTGCTTCTCTGGGGGCTGCTCCACAACTAGCCTAAGTATGGCCGAGGGGCGCAGTCCAGCAATATTCTTGACTCCCCTCTCCTCCTTCACCAATGCATGTTGTGGAGTGTCTCGACCAGGGATGGCTGAGTCCGGATCACCACTGAGGAGTCTGAGGTGTCCATTCCGAAGTGTCTGACAAGACACTAATTAACAACATGAAAATCGTCATCCTTCGTCAACTCCCACATTCAATTTCAACCATCCATGCAAAAATCCCAATTCTCCCTACCTAAGAACCCTAAATCCAGTTCTCTAAAATTGATCAAGTAAAAGATAAAAACACACCTGGAGACTCAAATAGAATTAGTGGGTAAGATGAGGAGAAGTGGTAGGAGTCGAAAATCGGCCAAAAATTTGGCCGGATGAGGTTGTCGGAGCTTTGCCTGAAGCTCTCCGGATTTTCACTGGAACAACTTTGCTAGCGACGAAAAGTGGACAAAAACTCCACCAAAAGCTCGACGAAGGTGCACCTTGGATTGGGGAGTCCGGAATGCGTTTATTCTTGGGATTGAACCGCTGGAAGTGGATCAAATCATTGAAAAAAAGTAGGAGGTGATGTTTTTCGGTGAGAGATTCAGAGGATTCTGGTGAAAACGACTCTTTAAGAAGAAGGGTTCACGATTGTCTTATCTAGCACGAGGTTCAAGATCACGTTCGGGGGTCATTTGTCATGGTCAGCAGACCGTGACAATAACGAAGTAAACGTGACCTTGACCAAAAATGGTGTGTTGGGCAGACATCACGGTTAGGCAGACAACACGGGTAGTTGCCCGTGAGGCCGTGAAAATTCCTTTCGTCCGTGATGTATGCAAATCATGGAGATGCCAGCAAATGTCACGATCTTCGTCACATTATCACAATTTGATGACCATGATCATATGCCTAAAACCGTGACAATCATAAAAACAGGGCAACTCCATAATTCTCAATACTCAATCGATTCAATCGTGCATCAAACTCAATCACGACTCACTAAAGCATTCAAACACATAAATCGTGGCACGGTGAACATTTCAAACTCATCACTCGAATCAAAAACTTAAATAAAGAGAGAAAAATAAGGAAAAGAAATATGAATCGATGTTGGGTTGCTTCCTAACAAGAGCTTGTTTTACGTTCTTAGTGTTAGTGAGTGGTATAAGATCCATTATAGAACCTCTCCCAAAAACTCGAGTTATTGGGATCAACTTGTTCTTGACATGGTATCGGACACTTATGTGCCTAAAAGGTCGTGTGTTCGAATCCCGGTGACCCCCATTTGTGAAGCACATGGTATTCTCGTGTTCAGGACTTGTGCAAAAGAAAACTCTTATGAGTTTATTGGATTTCATTTGAGTGGGGTGTGTTAGTTAGTGGTATAAGATCCATTATATAACCTCTCCCAACAAATCGAGTTATTTGGACTAACTGGTTCTTGACACTTAGCTAGACAATTTGGATCATCATGCTTGCAAGCATGAACCCTCCGAGAGTGGATCTGACACTATCGCGGCGAGGTTCATCACTAACTCACACCAACTACCACAATAAAATCCCGCCTAGATCTCAAGTATAAACTCTAGCAGGGTGCAGTATAGAGTAAGCATTTTAAAATGTCAACCCGGGGCAGTCCATGTACCCCAACTTCAATCGTTTAAACCTTATCTAGCAATCAATTTTTAGTGAAAACTAAGGTCTATAATTGAGACAAGAAAGAAAATAAATTGGTTTAGAATCTAGATGAGAAACCTTCACCGGGGTATTGCTCCCCCTAGCTATATATCAAGATCGACCGATTAGAATGGCAATGTGTAGGAATGTGCTCATACACCATAAGGAGAGAGCAACTAGTGAAGAAACTCCTCTCTCTTGGGTGATAGGCCAAGGCACAACAATTGAAGCTAGCAAACTAGCTCTCTTGGCCGCTCAACCAAGGGTTGGTAAGGCTACTCCCTCGTAACTTAATCCGGACGACAAGATAACAAACAAATCAAAGTGTTAAATCAAAACTTGAGGCTTGCCCTAAATTTCCCTAGATGGGAGACTCGAATGGCCAAGAAACCCAGCTTTTCAAAGCCTCTAGCAAACAAGGGGGTTTCTCTCCAACTAGGTCAAATTTGCATGGTAATGAGAAATGAACAACACAACTCAAACATTCTGAAAATACCTCAAACTTTGCATTAAACACAAACCCACACACATATCATTCAATTCATACAATCTATCACACATCTAAAGCTAAGGTTTACAATACCCAAGTGATAAAGAGTACTACTCAATAGTCAAACTAGCGATTACAACAAAGAGAAGAAGAAGAACAATGGTGTGGCTTGTGGCTTCCTTCCTTGTTGTAGAAACCACCCTTGGGAGGTGAAAATCCCCAATCTTCAAGATTGGAGCAAACCCTAGAGAAGCTCTTCTCTCTTGGTTCATCGTTTCTCTCTCTAAAATCTGAGGAAGAAGAAGGTATTATCCCACTAGGCTCTCTCCCAAAGTTTCGACTCCATCCTCCTTTTATACCCAGATCACACGCTCTTCAAGGTCTCAGATCACGGTCGTGATCTAGAATCTCATACCGTGATCTCGGACAAAAGTGCGTCGTTTCATTTAAGGTTTTCACAGTCTCTTGGAGATTATCACGGTAGCGCCCGCGAGGCACAAAAAATCCTCTCGTGTCCTTGTGCTTCACAGTTTGGGCCTCCTTATCACGGTCGACCTAATTGTAATAATCGTGCTTCCACTGTGATCATCGGCTTTTTGCTCCCTTTGAACTGCTTTCGCCCCTTTCGTTCAACTTTCGCTCCCAAGGCCAATATCGCCTGCAAGAACCTGAAACATGTTGGAATCATGCACAACCTAGCTTAAAGTCAAACCTCAAGCGATGTAAACGACTCAAACACCTCAAGAACGTTGGGTGAAAATATGTACAATTGTGCCAGAATCAATCACCTCCAATCTCTAACTCAAAAGGGTGGCCCTCTTGGCCCTTTACCTTTTCCTTGCCCTTCTCCATCTTTCAGTGTCAAAGCATAATCATTTTCTCCCGTCATGCCTTCCTTTGCTTCCCTTGGGGCTTAGTAACCGCCCTCGGTCCCTGCTTCACATCATCATAAGAAAGAGAAACACTAGCGGGGTTTGCCTTGGAAGGCTCACCTCCACTCACTAACACACCATTCGACTCTATCCCTTTAATATCATCATGTCTACCGTTAGGATCAATGGAAAAAGTGATTTTCTCATCACCATCTCTCAATATTAATGTGCCCTCATTAACATTAATTAGAGCCTTGGCGGTGGTAAGGAAGGTGCGTCCTAGGATGAGGGGCAAATCTGCATCTTCGTTATTGTCAAGGATAATGAAATCTGTTGGATAATAGAAAGTGCCCACCCGTACTAGGAAGTCCTCCACAATGCCACTAGGACTAATCATCACAGAACGTCAGCCAAAGTAATACTCAACCTAGTTGGTTTTAATTCACCTCGGTCTAACTTCTTGTAAAGCTTAAATGCATGACATTGATGCTTTCTCCTAATCCGCCAAGGATTTCTCTATATGACAAACTTTGCTAGAAGCCCCTTGAGAAACTTTGCATACCTTGGCATATACGCCATTGCTTCCAAGAAAAGAATTGTGACATTGAGCTTCTTGAGCATCTCCATAAACTTGTCACACTCCACCTCCAAACGATCTTTGTGCACTCTTTTAGGGAAAGGGAGTGGAGTCTTGTGCTTAGCCACTAGAGGTGGCATTGGCAGTACGTTCTTAGCCTCTTCACCATCTCTTTCTGAGAGTTCTTATTCCATGACCCTTGGAGGGGCTTCCTTGTCTTCATCAACTTCCTTAGTCGCAACATCTGGAGTTACCTTCCCACTCTTCAAAAGAATAGCATTCACCCCAAAACTTTGATCCTTGGGGTTGGTAACAGTCTGGGAAGGTAGAGCTCCTCTATGTCTCTCGGTTAGGATCCCAACAAGATTTTCGATTTGAGTCTCCAAGTTTTGAAGGCCCGCTTGATGACTTCTTAGACCCGCCTCAACCGAAGTGAACTTGTTTGTTGCGACTTTCATGAATTTCTCAATCTTCTCGAACTTTTGAGAACTTTTACTCATAAAGGTGGTGAATAGATCTTCAAGTTTTGAGAACTTATTGGGTTGTTGTTGTTGTTGTTGTTGGAACCCTTGTCCACATTGAGGTTGAAATTGTTGCTGAAAGTTCGAGCCTGGAAATTGTGGCCTATGTTGAATGAAAGGAGGTCTTGGTTGATAGTTCCTGTTGGTCCTTGGAAACCAGATGGCCTTAGATGAGTTGGTGAAGACCATGCAAAGTTTGGATGATTGCTCGAACCCGGATTGTAAGTGTTGCTATAGGGGTTGTTGTTGTTGTTGTTGACTCTCCTAGTATAGCAATGAAGCTCACTTTTTCTTCCGGATTGCTTGCTTCCTTCATTAGTTGGCACTCCAAATCTCATGGTTGGGACTTGAACAACAATCACAAGCATCGGCTTCTTGCCTTGCTTTCTATCTTGTAAGAGCATAGAGATCAACTCATCAATCTTCGGTGACTGGGGGACCCGACTTCGTGGAGTGGACTCCCTTCTCGCTTGTCCTTCTCCCACGCCTTGTCAACCCCCAATCATTAGCCCTTAGCGGCCATATCTTCAAACAATGCGATCATCTCAGGTGTAGTATAGTTGAGCATGTTCCTTTGACACAATGAGTCAATGATAATCCGAACTTCTAAATGGAGACCGTCATAAACAGTTTCAATCTGGAACTGCTCTCTAATCCCGTGGGGTGGACAGTGGAGGAAAATGTTAGAGTATCTCTCCCATGCATCGCTCAAAGTCTTGTCCTCCTCTGGGGCAAAATGAGTGATCTTCTACCTCCATTCCGCCGTCTTGGAAGGTGGACAAAACCGATTCATGAACTTGTTGAGCAAGTCATTCCACGAGGTTATCTAAAGGGTTGGCCTGTTGTTCAACCATTGTTGAGCTTTCCCACTTAGAGAGTAGGGGGAAAGCCTCAACCGAATGGCCTCTTCGGGTACTCCATTGATCTTGAAACCTCCCAACAACTCGAGAAACCTCTTGACATGCTCTCTTGGAGATTCATTCGCCAATCCATGGAATTGTATTTTCTGTTGGATCATGGTAATGAGATCGGACTTTATTTCAAAGTTGTTGGTGGCCACGGGTGGATGCAAGATCCTCGATTCTTCATCTCCTACTTGGACATAGGGCCCATGTAATAGCATATGGTCCTCTCGGGTGTAGGCCTTCTCAGGCATCGTCATGACTCTAGTGTCGAGGCCTACAGCTCGTTGTTGCATCTCTATGATATCAAACAACGCAGCTTCGGTCCTTGATGGTCGTCGCTCGAATCTCCGACAACAAATCACTGTTGCTACTCGTAGTCGCCTCCGCGATATCTACTCCTGGTCAGTGACAACTCGAATCTTTAACAACAGATCACCGTTCTTGCTCGTTGTCGTCTCTATGATATCCTCTCCTCGTCGGTCGCCATCCGAAACTCCAACAAATTCCCACCAGATTCGAGTATGTAGGGATCCTGCAGCTGAACAAGAGGACAACTAAACATTTGATTAAATTTGGAAAATGAAGAGTGTGCCCCAGCACATAAAAATCTTTATTGATTGCGGTCAACTATTTAATTAATGAAATTAACATAATGGAGAATTCTTGTTGGCTGTGATTGTTAGTACGGTGATAACAAAAAAGTGTTAGCATCTTCCTGCCAATTATTCGTGTGCTTTACCAAAAGGTAAAAAGGAGAAACTCATGTCACCATCATAGGCAGCAGTTGGAAAGTAATGCTAGAATCAGGATTCTGGATGGCAGTGCATTCAGCATTCAGTTCACTGTAACTTTCGTTTATGCAGCAGCATTGCAGCAGGCTGCCATTGTCAAAAAACTTATTTAAGAAGCATCTAATCAAAAGTAGCAGTTCCACATCCATATGACACTCGGTTGCATAAACATAATTCACAGAAGTGTAGAGTGACGAATCAGGGACTAGGTTTAGGTGGTTCCAGTACAATTCCTGAAAGAAGCAAGAAAATTCAGTAAACTAGAATTGAACACAACAACGATTCTGATAAACTATCACCAATCATGTGCATAGAAATGACGACTCAGAGATAGTACATTTAGCCGTCATATCGATGAGCTTCATGGCACCTCTGCCCCAGCTGTAGCTGCTACCAGCATTGCTTAGTGCTCTGCTTCAGGCTTTCTGACACTGGAATCCAACAGATAAACAGCAAATGCAGTAATTCTCTTAAAAACATAATTTGAACTGCAACCTGCCTGATCATCTCCCACACATAATCCTCCTTTGACATGTCTTCCAACCAAGTGTAAGTTCCATAGCCACCCAAACCTTGAAGCTGTGTACTCTTACGCGACCTTATGCTAAACTCAAGGGAATAAGAAGCCATTTCGGCCCTGAAACAACAGGTACTTCATAAAAGAAGTGGGTTCTTTTGAGCAATATAGATGTTTCATATGGTGGGAATCAAAGAGAGCAAGGAACTGAAAATGATTGCACATTCCATATAGTCTAACATCAATCGCCAAGTAACTATAAAGTTCGAACCAAGAAAAGGAAAATAATAGAAAACAGAACACATTTTGTTGTGCATAGTGAGGTTTAGGCATGAGATGGTCTGTGTCAAGTCAGCCCTCCAGGTTGCCCCAATGAAGGAAGCCACCATGACCTCTAGCATTCGAGAACTTGTAGACCGCTCCAAAAGCTAGTCACGTGAAATTAAGAAAGTCAAGTTGTGGAATTAGAGACCTACATATCGGAGGAATGCTGCTTCTTTAACTCAACAAACCAAGAAGATTGTATGACATGGTGAAAGAGTGACACAGAAAAAGCATACCTTCATAACCTTCAAGAACAGGATCTTCAGCCAGCAAAAGGGGAGTGTCAAGGTCAATGAACCTTCAACATACATAATTTTCTATGATTATAAATGAAAAGCAAGCATGCAAAATTGTATATAATAGAAAACCCATTGTGGATTGCTACTCATAAAAATGTTGAACTCACGCCGACTTACTTGAAACACCCAAGACCAGCAGCAAGGTGACCGGCAAAGCCCATAGCCAATCTGGTCTCGACCATACCGCCTATCATTAGGTCCAACCCTGATGCCCTCGCCTCGTCAATTATTTCAAGTGCAGCCATGACACCAACTTTTGCAAGTTTTATGTTAACAACATCAGCAAGACTTTCGTTGGCAATTCTTTTCACGTCAGTTAAACTCCGACAGCTCTCATCAGCTGCAACAGATACCCCATACCGTTGCTTGGCAATGCGGGTAACATGACCAAGGCCTTCCCAGTCATCTCTGTGAACAGGTTGTTCAAAAAGAATTGGTACCACCCCCATTTCTGTAACAAATAAGATCAATCCATCTCAATGATTTCTTTCTGTCAAATAAGCTCAGGCTTAAGAAGCTGGCAGTTGTTAGGAGCCAAGACTAGAAAAATGAGTTTATGTAACTAAGCAATCTACCATGTAATTTTTCCAGTACTTCAACTGCCTCATCTGATCTGTAACCCTCATTAGCATCCAAGATGAAAAAGCAATCAGGATGCACTGCACGGATTGCTCGAAGAACTTCTAAGTCAGAAGTCAGATCCTTTCCAACCTTTAGCTTCAGGGTTTTAAAGCCTTGCCCTCGATATTTTGTTGCCAATTCAGCAGCTTCAGCAGGTGCAGTTATCGGAATCTGTACAAGCCAATATGATAAGAAGGTCAACTACCTCAGAGGTTTGTTTCAAGTATATTTCTGTAGATAATGTATTCCAGTCAAATATAAGCCCGAAACTGCATCAAGTTTTGCCAAACACTAACTGAGGGGAAAAAATCTCAGCAACCCCAATCATTGATTGAGAAAAGACACATGATTGAAGTCAAAGTATGAATTGGTTGGAAAAACTATGGAAACCGTTCTTAACTGTTATATCAGTAGTGATAGTATCAGAAATGCCACCAAATAATCTCCAGAGTGGTATATCAATGCTAGTAGCAACTGCATCAATTAGGGCCATCTCAATCCCTGCCCGAACCTGCATTACAAAACAGCTATTATTAAACAGAACAAACGGAATTTTACACAACGGGCAGGATCTTGACTTCAACAACGGTTATTCTAATTCAAGGTGGATGAAATGGAATGGGATAGTAGACGGCCAGAGATTGTGAAACTCATTCTCCATAAATCACTATGATGTATGCATCGATATATATTGATGTACAGCAGCATGTAGTGTTAGAGATTCTGATTCTCCATAGGTCATGGGCATGCATCATAGGAAATGAAATCCAATACAAGCAAATACTCTCTCAAAACCCAAAGCCAGATCAAGCATTATACACAAACGAAAAACCCGCAAAACATTACCAAAACTGTAAGGGTAAAAGTCAACATTCAAGGAAGCAAACTTACAGAAGCAAATTGATGGCCAGGAACAAGGGCACCAATGTTGTGGAGAATGGATGACAAAGTCATAGGGGAACTGGTCGTGAGGAAATCACAAGCATCCCCAGCCTTGGCCAAGGCTGTAGGCTGATCCTCTGCAGTAACAAAAGGAAGTATTGGGGCCTCCCCCCATCCCACACACCCATTACTCAACTCAATACGAATGGCAACGTTTTCTACCTGATCAAGCCTAGAAGTTGCTATTGTAAAAGGGGCAGTTAAAGGCACATTCAACGGCCTGCTCTCTGCTTTCTGCACATCTACCGTAAAGGTTTCCACCAGGTTGGTGAAACCAAAGCTTGAAGCAGTTGCCGGCGTTGCTGCTGCCACCGTGATCGTTTTCCGGGCTCTGAGATTTGAAGTGGGTTGGGGTTGGGAGACATAATCGTTTGTAAATTGCAGAGCTTTTTGAAACTGGAGCTGGGAGCAGAAATGGAGCGAACCAAGCGAGAGCATATCTGGATTCAAAGTTTCAGGTGGGTTTTTTTTCTGGGAAGTGGAGTTCTGTGGATCTGGAAATAAATATGACTCCAATGCGAATCTTTCTATGCCAGCTTGGCTTGGTGTCGTCTTTAGAAAGAGCTTTCACAGTCTGACAGGGTTGGTGTTGGGTTGTTATCTAAATCCTATTAATTGATGCTCTGGTTTGGTAAAGTAGGGTGCCGCTAACCCTGGCCGGCCGGGGAAATAGGAGTCTATGATCGGTCGAGTCCGGTGGCCAAGTAACGAGGAGGACTGAGTGTATGAAAGGAAGGAATGCACAGATATAGAAGGGGGACGCCGAGGAATTTCACAGCGGATATTCAGCTAATCATTACCAATCTAACAATAATGGCCCATGGTGATGGTAGGGTTTGTCTGAACCTAACTTGACCCTTGATGTTGTGGACAAAGTTTTGGTGCTTCTCTGATGCATAGTGAAAATGGCTCTGAAAGCGATGGTTTTGTCAACAAACCTACCCACTGCATAGTTCCAGGTGGACATTGTCTTACCTTGTGGCTCGGTTGTTTTTTTTCCGCAGCCGGGAAGATAGCACTATAAATAAAAACTAGCTTATACTTCATTGGTTGGCCGGAATGTTAATTTGTGTTGAACAATTTTTAATTGAGAATTCAGAAAAAATGGTGGAGTTCGTTCAAATCTGGAAAAAAAAAAAGAATAATCAATTTTCAGTACATGAATAAACTGATGTCTTTTTGGTTGAATTAATTAAAAAAAAGAAAATAATTTGTTGGATTAAAGTATGAGCATTTAATTGTTGATGTTACTTTTTGAATTCTAAGCGCTAAATATTGTATTTAAATATTATATTTTGACATTCGTTTATAATGAAATATTTTATTTAATTATGAATGTTGATTATAAATTGTTCATTTTAAGATATATTATATAAATATGCACGATTCAGCTAATGTTAATGGCTTCTCACTTTCCTCGTCTATTTTATTAATATCGACATCAAACTATATCACTTACGGAACCGACATAACAGTTTAAACCAGTTTGACTACCTTCGCATAAGCTCATTTATCCACTAAGGCTCTTCACGTTTGAGATTTTATGGAAAATGATATGCTCATCTTTATTGCTTCCTAGCCTCTTTTAATAGAGCACCGAGATCCAAAACCGAAAGTGGGATTTACATCATGATATCCCAAATCATGATCATACCAGCAATTGTGGAGAGAAGATAAAAAGGAAACATAATGATCAATTCATTACACAAATTCTTGACTATTACATCAACATTAAGATAGTGGTAGCCCCATAAAAACTCCACATCCATTTAGTTTTACAACTCCATGATTATCTCGTTTCCAATCTTGAATGTATTTAAGTTTGGGCAGCAAGTAGAATCAGGCAGTAAAAAGTAGCATATGTGCTCTCATTTTACTGCTCTAATTGTTGTAACAGTGTAAGATAGGATAATTAAGAAATGAATAAGACATTTTCTGCCCACTCAAGACAAATCCTAAATTAAAGCAAGTAGAACCTAAGCACAATCTCCAACTCAATGAAGTTAGAAGATTTGTTTAGTGGTAAAGACTATAGAAGTTCACAAATAGTATTTTTACTACAAAATCTGAACATAAATAATTCCAGAGAAATAAATAACCAAAAATCAACTATAACCCCAAATTGTCAACCTAGCGGACCAAAATGACGCCAAAATGTACATGAAACTAAGAGTCCTCACCTCTATTGCCGATTACACCATACAATGCATTACACGCAGGGTCTTGAATAGTAATAGAAGTGCATTTCGCTACCCATATCTCTATCATCAGTTCCTTTTTCATTCAGATTTCTCTTTTAGTAAACAAATTGAGTTCTTTAGACAATGTTATGCAACCTTAACACACCAATGACACATATGTATAACCACAGCCCAAATCAAACATATGAGACCCGTGGACACGATATAAACAATGATGTTCAACGTACATTCAATTATTTTAACTGGTTGCCTCTGTGTTATGCGTTCAGTAGGAAGTTGTAATCACTTACATTAGATAAAAGACATAAACAAATTCAGCAAGCACGCGGATTCACGACAATTGAGAAAGAGAAACTTCTATAGAAAGGATGTTAAACATTCAAAATTGCTACATAATTTTAGACATCATTTCGAGAGAACAATAAGAAGGCAATGGGGGAAAAGCAGTTCACATCGGATTATAGGACATGGTGAGATGCTTTAAGAATACAATTTATATAAAAAAGAAGGGTTAATACATTATTTTGGCCCCAACTATGACCATATAATCAACTTTGGCACGTGGTTTGAGAAATTAACATTCTGGCCCGAACTTTGCAGCATATATACTCATTTGGCCCGAATCGTGGTTTGACCGTTTGTTTGAACGGTCAATACCGTGGACCGTTAGTCAACTGTCCAGGTCATCGCCATGGGAAAAAATCCCAAAGTACACACGTTCTTAAAAAAAATTCTCAAAATACATGAGTTATAAAAAAATTTCCCAAAGTACACATGTTTGAGCATCACCGTTTTAGACAAACACGGTGAAGATCATCACCGCGTTTGACAAACACGGTGAATACTTCATCGTTTTAAACAAAAACGGTGAAGTATTCACCGTTTCACACCAAAATGGTGAAGCTTTCACCGCGTTAATTAACAACGGTGAAAGCTTCACCGTTTTTGACCAAAACGGTGAAGCCTTCACCGTTGTTAACTAACGCGGTGATCATTTCCCACGTTTCCCACCCCTGGTAGGTCAAAATTAGGTCGCAGCTACCACCTATTCACCGTTTGAGACAAACGCGGTGATAGTGTTCACCGTTTTTGACAAAAACGGTGAATAGTAGGCAGATTTTCCTATAAATAGCACACCACCAGCAGTTGTAAAAACATAACCACTCCCCTTTCTTCAAATTTCAGCAGCCAAAATCGAGCATAATACACAGAACAGAAATTTTTCGGTATGTTGAGACTTTTCGTATTATGGTCTAATTATGTTTTTAGTAGTTATAGTATGATTTAATTTTCGTATTATGTTGTTGTTAGTTAGTTGAACTTATATTCGTTAGTTATAGTATGATTTAATTTTCGTATTATGTTGCTGTTAGTTAGTTGAATTTATTTTCGTTAGTTATGGTATGATTTAATTTTCGTATTATGTTGTTGTTAGTTAGTTGAACTTATGTTCGTTAGTAATAGTATGATTTAATTTTCGTATTATGTTGTTGTTAGTTGGTTGAATTTATTTTTGTTACTTATGGTATGATTTAATATTAGTTGTACAATATGATTTTGGTTAATTTTACTGTCTTTAAGCTAATAGATACTTATTGTAAATTGTAGATATGGGTAAATTCAAGAAGTTTCATCTTACTATTCGGTGGAATGGAAGGGTGACAAACTCTGACATAGGCATTGATTATGAGGACGGCGAATCCATTATGCTGAAAATTGAATCCCGATTCAATTTTCAAGAACTCTATGATCTTTGTGCAGAAAGGGTTTGTACGAGCGGACAGACGAGACTTGGCAAAATTACTTACCGGTATCCAGACATGAGTGCTGGCGGGGTCGTGTTCCAAGAAGTTGTCATAAACGATGATGACGCGGTTATGATGATGTTACAGTTCCTAAGCGATAACCAAGTCCGGCTTGCAGAGGTGTATGTTGAGACCGAGGCGCTCGGTGAATCTCATTCTCACCAGTATTCTTATGATGATGGTTTTGCAGGAGGGTACGAATGGGGTGGTAGTTCGAGCAACTACCAAGGCGGTGGTTATACAGGAGGTTACGGGGAGGGTGGTGGTTCAATCAACTATGGTGGATCGAGTAGTGCAGGATGGGACCAATACTCGCAACCTCCTAAACCAGCCCCATTTGTTGAGGCCGATGGTGTTCAATGGCCTGCTTGGGGGCCAGAGTGGTATGGAATCAAGAATACCATTCGATCAGGGCGTACTTCACATGAGCGAGAGGACGATGTTGGTGATCGTGGTCATGTTGATCCTTCTAGCTCGAGCTATCCATTCGAGTCAAGCGACGAGGATACTGAGGAAGATTTGATATCAGTGAGCGAGGAGGAGGAAGATACTGATGATAACGAGGATGAGGCGGCATTTCGTGAGGCACCCACGCCATATTACACACAGGTTCCAACTCAATTTTTACATAGTCAGAATGATCCCCCCGACTTTGTCCCTATGCCAGTGTACAATCCAACGGCCAATCTGGAGGTGGGTATGGCGTTCACATCGAAAGACGCTGTGCAGGATGCATTTACAGAAGAGGCGTTGAGGCGCAATTTCGAGTGGAAGGTAAAATATTCTGACAGTAAACAATTACATGTCATATGCAAGCATGATGCAGAGGGTTGTACGTGGCAACTGTGGGCTGCAAATATGAAGAGAAAGGGTGCTTGGGTGATTCGCAAAGCTGAGACGATCCACACATGCTCCTCTTCTATACTTTCCCAAGATCACAGGCAACTAAAAGCAAAGAAGGTTGGGAGAACTATTAAGCACCTTATAGAAGCACAACCAGATATCAAGGTGAAAGCTATCATGGCAGAGGTGAAGGATCGACATTCTTACACGATAAGGTACAAAAAAGCATGGCATGGTAAGCAGAAAGCCATGGCTGAGGTGTATGGTGATTGGGAGGATTCGTATGCTTTACTCCCTAGACTTATGGGAGCAATGGAGGAGTCCAATCCTGGGACTGTTTTCGTCCCAGTATACAACAATGTATACACTGAGGATCAAGTTCGAGTACAGGATAAGCTGATGTTCCATCGTCTTTTTTGGGCTTTTAAACCATGCATTGACGGTTTTGGGTTCTGCATACCGGTTATTCAGGTATTTTACCAACTAGTTCCGGTTTTAAATGTTGTATTATTTGCTGTTAAGTATATTTCATACTAATTATATCCTAAATTTTTATTCAGGTTGACGGAACTTTCCTTACTGGGAAGTACAGAGGATGTCTTCTAATTGCCACTGGCGTTGATGGAAACAGGCGGATTTTCCCGCTTGCATTTGCATTAGTGGAAGGGGAGAACAGTTTAAGTTGGGCTTGGTTCTTTGACCAACTGCACGAACACGTGACACAGCGGGAAGATATTACGATTATATCCGATCGACATGCGGGGATAAGGAATGCTGTTGGTGGTTTTCCCGACGAGTGGGGGTGGAGATGGAGATGGTGTATTCGGCACTGGCTCGCCAATTTCCAACACAAATTTGGGAAGAAGAAAGACATCAAAAATCTACTTTGGAATGCAGGTACTCATGTTTTTCTTATGCGATTTAAGTTTGTGTTTATTAAGCTGCTAAGCTGATGTTATTCATCATGTATTGACCAGTTAGTCTTTTGTTCACCTTTTAGCGGTTGCACATCAACCAAAAAAGTACGAGCAGATCATGAAAACGATCCGTCAGACCCACCGAGCTGGAGCAGTATGGGCTGAAGGTCAAGAGTTGCCCATGTGGACGTTCCATATGGACAACGGGGCTAGATGGGGCATTGCAACTACCAACCATGGAGAAAGTATAAATAATGTTTACAAGGGTCTTCGAGCGATGCCTATTTCTGTCATCGTGGAAATGTCTTATTGGAAGGTCAACGAGTGGCGAGTTGCTCGGCTACAGCTAGGTATAGGGAGGGAGTTGCAAGGTCATTCAATAGCACATGACGTATTCGCTCAAATGCAGAAGAACGATGAAAAATCAAGTAAGCATAAGGTTGTTCTTTTTAACCGCAGTGAAGGAATATTCGCTGTCGAAACAGGTATATGGGGTGGAGGGAGACGTGGTCACAATCGTCAAATGGTCAAATTGCACTACGAATTAGGGGAGTGTTCTTGTCAAAAGTATCAGAACGAAAGGATACCCTGTTCACATGCAATGGCGGTTGCTAAGTCAATAACCATGAACAGAAACAGCCTGGTGAGTCCTTACTACACTGAACAAGCGATACGGAACTCATATAATGCAGCTTTGAGCCCCATGCCAGATGAAGCGTATTGGCCTATATACGCTGGAAAGTTGATTATCCCACCGTTGCACCTAAAACGCACCAAAGGCCGTCCTAGAGTTGAAAGGATACACAATGAGATGGATCAAGTTGAACGGACGAGAAGGGGACCGAAGCGATGCTCTAAGTGCAGACAACCTGGTCACGACAAGAGGCGTTGCCCAGGACAACCATCAACTTAATTTGCATTTACTTGTATTCTGCTACTAAATTGATCGCTTGTTTAATTTTTAATTAACGTTTGCATTTGAAGTCCAAGTATTTTGTTAAATCAAAAATGTTTTCCTTGTCGATACGATCGCGTGGCCGCAAACGGCTCGTTATTTCGACCTCAAACGAATAAGATACGGGCGTTTTAGTTTATAGTACGCAAAAGTTACTTTAACGATACGATCACGCTTTGACGTCACTTATCTCACTCGTTTGGACTCGGAATTGGGATCTGTAAAATTCTATGCGATCGTGGTTGATTTGCCCAACTTTTTTGTGTTGAGGGAAGATACTGATTCTTTATAAAATGATCCAGAAAATTCATTCGACAACTTAAGTGCGTAGGATAGTTTTTAGACAATGCAAACTCAAATAACAACACCTAAAAATCACAAAAACAACATTGATAGTTCACTACAATGATAAAACGATAAATTCACTAATTTGCTTCGTTTTGGCCCCCATCTCCACCTCTTCCTCCTCGTCCTCCACGACGTCCTCGACCCCTTCTTCCCCCCTCCGCCGCTGCTTCTTGGCGGGCTCGCTCAACGGCTGGTCGCGGATTTCTCTTGACCCGAGCCCCAACTGGGGTTACATATGGTGGTGGTGGTGGCTGAGTTGGAGCGGTAGCTTGACGAATGATCGGAGTTTGTTGTTGCGGGGTCTGAAACATCGAACTTTGTTGCTGATGTTGGAATTGAGAGAACCCATGAGAGAAAGTGTCCCATTCCTGAGATCCCCCACGACTCGATGAGCCTCCACCGGCATCCGCTGTAGGTGCCCACTGGTACTCGAACGGTTCGGGGAGCTCGGTTTCTTGAGTGGTACGCACCTCTTCGAACGTAGGCAAAGGCCTGCGTTTGCTCCTTCGTGGGGGCTCAACCGGGGGCACAATGGCTGCATCATCACGGAATGAGGGTCGTGCCGGGGCAGGAACGGGAGGATAGGCCACAACATCCCTCCTTTGCTCTCTGGTGCAACTCAGGAGGTTATTCATAAGTCGGGTCAACCAAGTAGTCTTCCGCTCATCCATGGTTGGAGCACTTTCGAGAGTGTACTTCGCGTGTTCCAAACCATCAACCTAAGGAAAGCACAAAATATATCAAATTAACTAAACATTAAAATAAATATATTTAAGAATGAGGGAGATTAGGATGACTTACCACCGAACCCATCACAGCACCTTGCTTTGACACCCATCTCAAGGTGAACTTCCGATACCACTGCATGTACCCATCGTGGTAGCCCATCGGTCTCGTCTCCGGCATCCCTTGCACCACCCATTGGGATCGATTCTCCCAGATGTTGATGTAGAATCCATGCTTTAGCGTCCAGTTTGCATTGTTTCGGAGGTCCATAGCATGTAGCTCCTTGAAACCTGCTGGCGGGTCTTGTGGAATTGGTTGCTCCATTCGATACTGCCTCAGGGATCGATCGGGTAGGTGTCATTCCACAATGTGCCAACAGATCAATGGCACCTTGCACAACCACGTCTCGTGATCCAGAGGGTGCCTAAGATGATGCAGCTCAACCACTTCACGTGGATATGGATCCCATATAACCTAAAATCACAAAAATTCGGAATTAACGACCATTTACTTTGATAAAATTGATCTTGTTCAAATATGGACAAAACATGATTACCTGATTCCACCATGGTTTATCTAACTCAGAACGATAAAACAGTAACGAATGCTCAGGCTGATGGTCATTCGTATTTGCTCCTATCCACCTTGTAAGTAAAAGTACGGAATCAATTTAAATTCAATTTAAATCTAGTTAAGCATGTAATAAAAATTAAATTGGGCTAAGTACGGAAGTGCAGACAATTTAAATCTAGCTGAAGCATGTAATCAAAAGTTAAATTGGGCTAAGTACGGAATAAATTCAATTTAAATCTAGCTCAAGCATGTAATAAAAAGTTAAATTGGGCTAAGTACGGAATAAATTCAATTTAAATCTAGCTCAAGCATGTAATAAAAAGTTAAATTGGGCTAAGTACGGAATAAATTCAATTTAAATCTAGCTCAAGCATGTAATAAAATTTAAATTGGGCTAAGTACGGAATAAACTTACTTGACACCGTAGGGGAGATTTTGCAGAAGGTTGAGCTCATCATCGTTTCTCCGGTATGGACGTGGGTCGAGAGGTGCGAACATTGGAAGATGCTCCCATACCCACAGTTGAACGATGAACATCGCAGCACCAGCTTGCTTTGCCCCAACCCTCGAGCAAGTACACAGCTCCCGGTACACGCCCGCTAGCACGGCCGATCCCCAACTCTTCTCTCCAATTGCATCCCAGTCACCGGTGAGCAATGGCAACCATATGCCTTGAATCCACCGGTTGGACTTGTCGGGGAACAAAAATCCACCCACCAAACCGATGAGGTAGATGCGGGCGTAGCGCTCGACTTGTTCTTCCGGTGTCTCGTCATTGATTTCCACCTCTTGCTGGATGTGAGATACCAGCCACGGGACCGACACTTGCCCCGCATTCAACGGTGGATGCCCCCGTCCTTGATTTGGTGTGGTGGTCGGCATGTCGAAGCCCAAACGATCACGGATGAGCGGCCCCCAACCTCCTTCGGGTTTGGTCGTGTTCCCAATGATGGCATCTCCAAATATAGGAAGCCCGGTGAGGATCGCCACGTCTTTGAGGGTGATCGTCATTTCCCCCTCCGCAAGGTGGAATGTATGGGTTTCGGGACGCCATCGTTCCGCCATTGCCGTAAGCAGCTCGTTGTCGATCTCGATCCGCAAGAAATGGCGCAACATTCCCAAACCGGTCCTCGCTATATAGGGCTCCAACCTTGGATGCCAAGCGGGCAAGTTATTGGTCCCTTTATGAACCACGGGAACAAGAGATTCCTAAAAAAAATAGGAAAAACATCAATTAATTAGATTAAATAAAGCAAAATAAAACATTAGAAAATAATAAAATAAAGCAAGTCAGTTCATCAAATTACCGGATTGTTATCCCAAATGGCACGGGAGCGATGCATTTGCTGATCGGTTAATAGACTCGCATCCCTTGGGCCATAATGGATATACAATCGAGGATCGTATATCTCGGCACCCATCTATAAAAAAGTAATATAATCAGAGATTGTTTTGATAAAAAATAAATCAAATTGTTTCGATTAAAAAAAATCACAAACCAAAAACCTACACGAAGAGCCTCTTCGTCCATTATTGGCGGAAGCCGGACAGAGGTTCGATGGGTTTAGCTTTGTAAGGGACGGGAACTTAGCGGGACGGGGGCTTTAGGGTCAAACTCTAGTAATTCTTTCTGATGTGGAAGATCGGACTTAGCCGCAACCACAGAGCATACTTAGAACGAGACTAGAGCGGATAAATTGAGGGAGAAAGAAGTGAAATGTTTGTGGGGTGAGTTGAAAGTGAAAGGGGAAGGGGGTATTTATAGTTGGGGGAAGGGGGGGAGGAGCTGCTGCGCAGTAAATGTGGGGGAGCATTCACCGCGTTTGATGAACGCGGTGAAGGACTCACCGCGTTTGATGAACGCGGTGAAGGACTGTCCTTCCCCAAAACCGGCTCCCCGTCCACGTAGCTTGCTGTGAGGCGTCGGATCGCGGGAAGAAAACCACGATCCGCGCCTCACCGCATCTAACGGCCACGGTGAAAGCACACTGAGGCGGATCGCTGACGTGGCAGACACGGGTTATTCACCGTGTTTGTCTAACGCGGTGAATACCCCGTGTCTGCCACGTCAGCAACTTCACCGCGTCCTAGAAAAACGGTGAAGCCTTCACCGTTTTAGTTAAAAACGGTGAGGGCATCACCGTGTTATATTAAAACGGTGAGTACTTCACCGTTTTTAACAAAAGCGGTGAAGCCTTCACCGTTTTAGTTTAAAACGGTGAAGTACTCACCGTGTTTGTCAAACGCGGTGATGACCTTCACCGTTTTAGACAAAAACGGTGATGCTCAAACATGTGTAGTTTTGGAATTTTTTTTATAACTAATGTATTTTGGAAATTTTTTTTAAAAACTAGTGTACTTTGGGATTTTTTCCCATCGCCATGTCAGCAACCAAAGAAATAAAAAATTTGAAATTCAATTTTCTTTCTTATTTCCTTTACCTAATTAAAAAAACCAGAAAAAAAATCTGAGATGGTGAGCTGGCACCGCCTGCTGGCTTTCCTTGTGGGAATTGTCATAGCTTCCAAAATAATGTGTAGAAGTCTCGAATATTCCCTCCGCTGGAGACTTCTCATAAGCTGCTGTAGTATGGAATTGGGGATCCTAAGATCTGTGGCTGTAGAAGTTGATGGACTTGAGCCTCTGCAACATAGACACCTCCAAAGTTGCTGCTGTTGGTGTTGTTTATCTTGTTGCTGGTGGTGGTGGTCGTCTTGATGATTGCTGGGCTTCCGGGAAGCTAAGCTGGAGGTGATGGCAATGGTGTCATTCATGATGTTCAGGAAGAGGAAAAGGAGAGTGGGTGTGCACCATCTGGTCATGGATGCCCAGATCGAAGAATGTACAGCGGATGCTACCGTTTCTTCCAACATTTCTCAGCTTCTGTTTTGGTTGGATGTGAGAGAAAAAGGGGCAAAAAATAGGAATAGGAACATAGTGAGAAAAGGGAAAGTGAAGAGTGAGGATGGAGAGAGAGGGAGATATAGAGGAAAGGAAATCAGTAGGTCGCTGTCCCAATTGATTCTGCCGGCTGCTGCCGCCGCCGTCGCGGAAGAGAAAGAAGAACGACGAGTTGCCAACAGAGAAAGGGAAAAGGAATGGGCGAAATCCCTAATTTCTAGATCCAAGAGGCTGCCCCCGAGCTACCTGTCGCTGCCATCGGAGAGGAAATCGAAGTCAAAATCATCGTCGACGTCGATTCTAAACACCAGCTGCGTGTCGGTGGCGGTAGAGGAGTGCGATTTTGCGGTGGGGCGGAAAGGAGGCGATGGGTGGTTCAAAGATTTTTTTCGTTTTTTAAATTAGGTAAAGGAAATAAGAAAGAAAATCCAATTCCGGATTTTTTATTTCACTCGTCCCCTTCAGGGTAATATGACATGGCCACAAAGAAATCATTTTTGGTTGCAGCTTCCTTCTCAAGTTCGATGAAATTGGTTAGAACTTAGAAGATCTTAGAAAGGATATTGGTAAACATCCAAAACTACTGCAGAAGTTTATAGTTCATCTCAAGTTAGAAATAAGAAGACAATTTGGGTAATCAATACATTATATAACAATGGAGGGGGTGCTCTTAAGTAATCTATACTTAATGGTTCAATTTGGCCACCATTCGATTCTTTCGAACTTAAAATGATATCGACAAAGAAATTTATTTAACGATCAATAACAATAGGGAAGAAATTTTAGAGGTACTGTTCACCCGTGGAAATAACGTGAGACCATTTTCCTTCTTAAATCAAGCTATTCACCATTCAAGACAATAAAAGAAACCCAATTGAAGACTCAAAATACGAAAAACAAACCACCCAAAGTATGAAGCAGAGCTATTCGTCCAGCTTCAGCTAAGTGTATGGGTAGTTACCCCATTGATTATCCAATTCAAGGGGTCATATCAAAGAATGAACTAACTATCTCGGAAAACAACTAAAGCTTACTGTTGCACAAATGACAGTGGCCAACTGGTCAACAATATGCTCACATACAATGTGTTTAAGTGAGAACTGAATTGAATTAAGCTGAGATGATAATCCATGAAGTTCCAAACTCGGTTTAGGGATTTGGATGCTATTTCTTTACCTGCCAGAAACCACAATGCTAACTTAATATAAGCAATAAATTCCAGTTGCAGAGATCATTTCAATTCCAAAAACGTGCCAACTCATAAATAGTAGAAATCGCATTCCACTACAATAAAAAGATCCATCCCATCAAACATAGAAAATCCAGCCGATTAAAAAGAACGAAATGAAAACAAAAAAGGCTTTCATAAATTGGGCATGGACACACTAGCTCAGAATTAAGAACCTAAACGAAACATTTAGTAATCAGACCAAATGTATCTTCTGCACGAAGGAGTAAACTTTCAAAGGTTATAACTAAAGGTATACTTTCAAAAACTATTCTGGTGTAACACATCAAGAGAGAACATCTTAATACACTTTTGTTCTATAACCAGGCCCTTCTATTCTAAAAGCAGACTTGTCAGTTTCAGCTACTTACAAGTGAAAATAAACATCTACCGGGTTCAACAATTCTGCATAATATTTTCATAAACATCTAGCAGGCAGACTAGTACAAATGGATCACAAACTCAAAGTGAAACTAAAAAGAAAAAACACCAACGACAACTGAGATTAATATTAAAACAACAATCACATACTGACCGAAGTCATCCCGTTGAAATTCAAGAAGCAATCCAAGACAAAGTAATAAGAAGAGCAATAAGCATTTGCTTGGCATTATCAATGAACCAAGAAACAATATTTTACCAAATTGATGAGTTGTTCTTGTTAATTCAACTTAGCATGAAAAACTCACCAAGTAGATATGGTGCCCTAGTAGCAGCTTCACATACAGTTCAAGGAATCACAATTTTGGTGGTACATGTTCTTCTTGCTCCTTGGGCAAGACAACTCTATGCAACATCTCCTAATCTATTGTATACTTCTCCATATTCTCCTTTGTTGTACATTATTAATAAACTTCATCTCCATCAACTTCTTCCTCGAATACTTTCCGTTCACCATATATAAACCTTCAACAACATGATTTTCATGCTTAAAGCTTGATTCAGTTTCCTTTTCCTTCTTCCCCTCTTCTTTCCATTAGAAGCTCTTGATTCCCATTCCACTTCCCCCAATTCATCAGTCAACCATTTTGTATGTTTCAAAAGACAAAATCTATTCGATCAGTACCATATCATCCAGTACTTCAACCTCGAGAGAGAGCCCATTCACTTGCCTTCCATTATGTGTTTCAAAAGGTAACATCTTTCCTCTACATGGATCAAGAACCCCTAGTTTCTTGAGCATGGTCTGCAACTAACCGTTGATGTTGTTAAACTTGTTTGTTTATGATAATCCCCACCCAACTAGCAACGTTGTTTTCTCCTCGTCCCTACAACTTCAACCTCAGGCGATGATGATATGCCAAAATCTAGAACTTTGGTCTACGTCAAACCTCACGGTGGCAGCCTAGATAAAACACCAAACATTAAAATCCTAACATATACTATTAGTACTCACCATGATGGTACATCGTGTTTCGAGTCTTTCTTCATTGATGGATATGGTAGGTAATAATCCAGTGGGCAGAATCAGGGGTGAAATCTAGTGGGTGAAGCGAATTTCTGAAGGAAACGTTGCAAAAGTCCAGCGTGTGCGGAGACATTATTCACTGGGGGGATCAGTATGAGAGAGATGCAATTCTGTCTGAACCTACCAACCCTGTGAGGAAAACAGTTGCGGAATCTTTGTCGATGACCCGAGGGCAACTTTAATCTGGAAAATGGTACAAGATCTACTCCAAGGCGAACATGGTCATCACCATACTGAAACTGAACTGCAATGACAACTCCTTCATCTGCAAAAGGAGAAAAGTGGATGGAAGATAAGGGAAGATGAGGAATCAACTGCCGCAGTAGTCAATCTCCAGCACTGCAAATTTATTGTTTGTTACATTGTTTAGTAACATCACTAGGGAGGATTGGGCTGTTCGGTTTTCCATCCATGAGAGAGGAAGCTAGAGATAAAGAAGATTTTTCTACAATAAAAAAAGGAAAGAGACCTTACCGGAGAAGAAGATCATAACCGCTCTTGTTAACCTTCATTAGGCCTTCGATTCGTCGGGGAAGAGAAGAAAAGAAGAAGTCGAAAAGCCCCTGTCATGTCGTCCTTCTCTTCCAATTCTGTTTCAGAGAACGGATGGGAAAGGGATTAGGGTATAGGGGTTATAGGGAATGGATTGCGGGATGGAAAGAGAAAAGAGGGAGGGAGACCGCTTGGATTTGACGATAGAGGGGAAAAGATGGGAAAATCCCACCTTATTGGGCAGCCACATCAGCAGTCGAAAAACACTCTAAAGTCATGGATTTTTTAAGGGTTAATATTTTTGTATGGCCTGAACTTTGACCAAAATAAACATCCTGGCCAATCTTTTTGATCTATAACATCCTGGCCCGAACTATACACCAAAATAAACAATTTGGCCAGATCCGATTTTTGACCGTTAACTTAGACGGTCAAACGCGTTGACCGTTAGTCAACGCGCCATGTCACTGCCAACTCAGCAAGTTTAAATTAAAAAAAAATTAATTTTCACCTATTCCATTTTTTTCCTTTATCATTTTGATGGGAAAAAAATAATTTACGGGACAAAAAGCACGACCCCCCCGCCCTAAACCCCATTCTTCCCCTACTTCGTCTCGTCTCCTCTCTTCCTCCATCGCTACGGCCGCCAACGATGTTGTAGAGAAGGACAGAGTAGTCCAGCCATCATCTTGCCACGCTACTCACAAGCCTGGCACCAATTCGATCCAGCCGCTTCACCATAGCCACAGATTCCAAGTTCCCTTCTCTCCGGAAAGCCTCCACCATCCTCTTCCCCTCTTTCCTCCCCATCCACCACCGCCACCGTCGTCGGCCATGCACCGCTGATTGTACAGCCGAACCCCCCAGCCTCCAACGCGGCCTTCTTCACAGCTTCCATCCCGGGAATCAGCGGAGCCCTCTTCAGCTCCACGATCTTGTCCGACGACAGATCCCCTCCCAAAATCGACACCACCAGCGCTCCCGCCTTGCTGCAATTCCACACATGGTGTGGCATCGCGATCTCCAATGGCAGTGCAGCCCTCATCTTCTTAGTCGGCGCCTCGAATTCGCCGGCTCACCAGCACGAACAGCAACTCCTTGTCCGCCGGGAACTCCAGCCTCATCAATTCGAGCGGATCGTAGCTCTGGATCAACACGAACCCTCCCATTATCGCGGGGGCGATGTTGTCCGCGTGGTACCCCGACACTTTGGCCTCCGATTCAAGCCTCGCGAGGACTAATTCCCTCGAATCCAGCTTCCCGCCGAAGAGCTCGTTCACTGCCACGGCGGCGGCGCTGGCTGCGCTGGATCCGAGGCCGCCCCCTAAGGGGAGGCCCTTCTCGAGGGAGACGAAGAGGCCGACGGAACGGATGTTGAGCAATTTCATGGCGGCAATCGCTGAGATCCCGGCGCAGTTCCAGATAGGATTTTTGGACAGCTTGGAGGAGGCATGGGTGCCGTAAATCTCGGTCGAGGGAGGAGGTTCAACGATGAAGTAAGGAGAAGGTGAGGGACGGCGGGTGAATTCTGTGGATGAGGATGGGGTAGCGATATGGATAAGGTAGGGTTTAGGGCAGGGGTCGTGCATTTTGTCACATAAAATGTTTTTTTTTTCCGTCAAAATGATATAGGGAAAAAATGGAATAGGTGTAAATTAATTTTTTTTTAATTTAAACTTGCTGAGATGGCAGTGACATGGCGCATTGACTAACGGTCAACGCGTTTGACCGTCTAAGTTAACGGTCAAAAGTCGGATCTGGCCAAATTGTTTATTTTGGTGTATAGTTCAGGCCAGGATGTTATAGATCGAAAAGATTGGCCAGGATGTTTATTTTGGTCAAAGTTCAGGCCATACGAAAATATTAACCCATTTTTTAATTGAGGTGCAGTTATAACTTATAAGTTTTAGCTATAAATGATACAGTTGATGGGTCGTATAGAAGAATTAAACCCTAGTAGAACACTCCAACAATCACAAAAATGTTACTTCTATCCTAAAGTATTTAATAGGAAAAATACAGTTGTTTAACCAAAAACTTTCGCGTTTGTGTCAATAACAGACACTTTGGAGAAATATCACTTATACCCGGATTTTGTAGTTGTTGTATGACAAATCTAGTCATTTCTGTTAGATATTTTAACGGTGTTAGTAACACCGTCAAGTTCTTTGACGGTTCACAGACTAGGCTCCCACTCAACGTACACATCAGCGCCAAATAAGCCAAAAGTAACACATCATAATTTATAATTATTGAATAATTACACATCATCAATTAATTAATTAAAATAAAAAATTTGAAAAATTTCTCCACCTCACTTTCCCTTTCTCTCTCTACGTTGGGTTGGTAACAAAAAAAAAATTCCCCAGTATTCGCCATCTCATCGTCACTTTCCCTTTCTCCCTCCCTTCGTTGTGGGATATACCAAAGTCACCGGATTTATTTCCATCTCACCGGATCGAAACTCTCGGACGAGGGAAAGCATATCTGGACGGCACGGCTCTATGGAAGGACAAACTGTGCTTGTCCCTCATCTCTGCATCTTCAACCAAGCGTATCAGAGAGATGAACCAGCGTGGCGTTGAATTCGACGGCGATGTCGAAGTGGACGGTAGAGGAGCACCGATGGAGGCTGGTAGAGGAGAGGGTGTCACTCAGAGAAGGGAAGGAGCGGTCAATGGTGAGGGAGATGGTGGAATTCATGGCGGCGGAGGTATGGGAGTAGAGGTAGTTGGGTTTCAGCGATTATGAATCTCGACATCAGGGAGGATGGTGACCCACAAAAGCGCTCCTCTCGATTTGATCCCCAAAAATTTAGATAGAAAATCTTCTTTTCTGATCGACGACCATTCCCTTAGTTACTGTCTTCGAAGTTTCAATCGTTCTAGATCTATTCCAAATTTCCAAAAATTTATCGTTCTCATATCGGATTTGGGCACTACTGTAGACCACCTGGTTCAGTCAAAGAAAATCCCAAGTCAAGAAGCGGCTTATCTATCGGTGACCTGCTGTTCTCTTGATTTTTTACCCCGTAATTTTTTTCATTCCCTCATGTTGATATTTACAGAAGAAATTGGAGATAATAGCTTGCCACATCAGCATTTCAGTTTGTCCAGTTAGATTTATCGCTAATACCGTTAAAGATTTAGACAGAAGTGGCTATAAGTGGTATTTCTCGAAAAGTAGCTATTATTGTCACAAACGCGAAAGTTTTGGCTATACAAGTGTATTTTGTCTATTTAGTTAGAGAATTTATGAAATTTCTACCTATTTCACACGAAACCAAATATCCACCGCCTAGCATGCCAAATTGTTCCAGGCGATATAGATTTGATTGTTTCGCGGTGGACACTTTTGCTGTGGACACTTTTGTGATGTCATTTGATTGGATGCACCATTGGCTGTTAAAATCAAGACAATTGTCAAATATCCACCGTTGGGCGTGCCAAATTGTTTTGAGAGGTGTTGATTTGATCAATGCACCTCTGACTTCTGAAAACCAAGACGATTGTTACTCGGTTCACACCTCTCCAAACAATGTTCAAACGAGGGTGTTTGAGATTTTTTGGTGGAATCTACGTTATAACTACTCCTATGGAGATTCCTATGGAGAGTTCCGCGACTATGCTACGACTACGACTATGGAGATCCTTCTTGGAAGGAGAGCTCCGCGAAGTACTTATAGAGAAAAAGGAAGTTCTGACAAAGTTGTTCTATGTTTATTTTTTTGTTCTCTTTCCTCTCTCTTTGGTTCAGTGATTTTATCTGAAATAATTTGTGTAGCCTTCACGAAAACTCCTCCGCGTAATTGTCTTCGAAACTACCGAGTCATCCAAGCAATCCTGCACGTGTCTCAATCGTCCCAATTTTGATTTTGCTCCTGCTTGCGTGAATCTCACGTGGGACTTCAAGAGGATTGCATTAGCTCCATGTAGCTGTCTTAGAACAACTTCGTTCCTTACCCCACAACCTTGTCGAACTTGCGAAATCGTTGAACCCAATTTCTCGACTTCTTGATGGCTCGGTTGCTTCCGCAACATTGTTGACTTCTTCCATAAATGATCTTGAGACATTTTCGAGATCCGCGGCATTGCTGGCTTTGCAAAGCTGTTGAAATCGCGTCACCGATGACCACCACAGTGTTGTTTAGCTCGCGACATTGTTTAGGTTGCCGGCATTGTCAAACTTGTAACGCCACTGAACTAGTGACCTGACATCGCTCTCCATCGCAATATTTTTTAGCTTGTGACGTCGTTGATTCGTGCCAACTTTATTGGCATTGGGTTTTTTCACGTGATCACCACTCCCACACTGAAGAGTGTTTTTGGCACCCCTTGTTTGATTTTTTCTAGAACATTGTGGATTTGTCAAACTTATTTGCCACTTGCGATGTTGTTTCTCCTTCGGCCGGCCATGTGGTGGGATCTCATACCCTCCTAGCGGCTTAGATTGAACATCATTGCTATGTTGCTTGGACAACACATCACGTTCGAGCTTTCTATCCTCAACGTGGTTGTAACCAGGTTCTCCACCCTGATTCTTGTTTCCAATCTTACTAGAAGTAAGTCGATACTGACTTCTTTGTAGTTGATTCTGCAAGCCAATTCCAACTTGTGTGTCCTTGAGAACAACGTTGTTCACAAAAAGGACCACCTTAGATTTGTTGACTTCTGGCAACAGTGTTATTGCCAGACCCGACGATAGAGTTTGGTTGACATTGACTAGTCGACCAAACATTGTATCATCGCAAATAACATGCATGATTTTAGATTTAAACACATCAAAATCATATGTGGCTCTACGTATTAACATATTAAAATCAGAAATACAGTCATCCAACTTATCACACCATCGATCTATGTTTTTTTCAAGATTTTCCATTTTTTTTTTGTAAAAAGAAGTTAAAATGATGTTTACATGTTGCTTATCTTTGTTGAGTTCAGTCACTACTTGGCGGAGCATGCGCAGCATCTCATCCTGATCGGTGATTTGTGCCAC